TAAGTCATTACAGGAGATTATCAGTGCTGGATGTCCACACAGGAAAGATGACAACCCTTGAAGATTCAGACCTTAGAAAGCAGACCAAGTAGAAAGAATTCCGAACCTATTATTTTACAATGCCTCAGGCAGAAGTCTCTAAACCTTAAGGTTTCTGAGTGGCTGGAATTGCCTGTTCTATTTTTTGCCTTGGCTAAGTATCTATCACAGCATTTCTAACCCACTAACATAATTTTAGTCCAAATTATCACATATTCATAGATACTCCAATAGCCAAAATTGTACTTACACACTTACACTTATGCAAGTGCTTGTGCCCCTCCTGAGTGAGATTAAGGCAAACCAGAAGGATCTAATGTTACCAGCTCTAAATAGGAGGAAAAGCAAAGCTTAGGTGTAAAACAGAGTCCTCCAGCCCTAAAGCAATGAACCTGTTTGGTGGTACATGCTGAAAAACCCATGAAGGAGAGAGAAAACCTTCATACACCACAGGAGAAAGACAAAGCTAGATTTTCACTGTGCCAAGCTGTCTTCAGCCAGCCTGAAGACCAGTGGCTGGCTGAACACGTGACAAGCAGTCGACCCAAAGAAAGGAAATTAATCTGTCCTCATTCACACAAAGCATGAGTCCTTACACAGATCTTTGAAAGCATACACACTGTGCATCAATAATAATGATGCTACTTCACTCTTTTGGTCTGAGGAGGAAAAATTAAATAACACGTTCCTGGCTCTGCAGAACAACCAGCTACCACAGGGAAAGTGACTCAGAAGTCACTACCTGCAAGCCTGAGGTTCACTTTGCACGATCAACTGAACCCCCTTCATATAGGAAGGATCAGGATGATTCCCAGTCGCTCAGCAGGGCAGGCCAGCCAGACCAGAGTCTCATAGCTGATTCCAGATGCAGATACCAGAAGAAAATAACTGACATAACTTGCTGGTCCCCAGCACTGTGTATGCTCATGTACAAGCTGCAAGGGTACATGAAGAGAGCTGACATGGTGGCTTTGTTAGTGCCTAGTCCACAGTTCCCTTTTAAGCAACTGTAAGACCAAAATTACGTAGCAGAGAAATGCAGTTCTCTGCCACCAGAACAGACTCACATATGACTTCATTTCATTGATTGACATTAAGGAAATGACAAACATTTCTTAATGACCTCTGCCCAGGACAAAAAGGAATATGTCAAGTACACAGGTAATTTAACAACTTTTGTGGATCAGTTGTACCGCCTACAAAGTTGTCTGTGTCAACAGCAAAGTTGGAATGGAATTGCCACCCTTAAAGGGCTCAGTTCTCTTCAGCTACATGTTTCAGCCAGTTAATTTTTTAACACACCACAATCCAACTGTTTCATTCTGATAACACCTAGGGCCACTAATTAAGGGCTTAGTTTGACTGGCAACGCACAGACTTGTTCCAACCAGATGCTCCCTGCCCCAAGGAGCTTGCTTGCAAGCAAAGCTTAGAAAATCAACACCTACACTTTAGCCACTACACAAATATGCAAGGGCACAAGAGTTGAAGAGGGATTTGGAAGAAATGCATTTGTGTGAGAAACCCCTACCCCAAGTTGCAGAGATGAACAAGACATTTCATTTGTAGAAAGCTGAGTCGACTGGAGAGTACTTCTAAGGGCTCAGTATCAGTACTCCATCACATAAACCCACATGCAACCCCAGGATATGCATTTTAAAAGCTCCTTGAACAATTTGACTTATAGTTCAGGAAGGGCTTCTCAGGACTACCAGTCCAAAACTATGAAAGAAAACAATAAAAACCCCATACTAGACTGTATTGGACAACCAACAAAAAATTCAGGTCTTGAGTTACAGGCCTTTCTCACTTTCCTTATTTGAAGCATTTCACTACAGTATAGGACAATCCCCTGTTCTCACTCTTCTCTCCTGCCCCACAAAGTCTGCTCTGCAACAGACCCAGTTGCCAGCTGTTATCAAAGATGAGCCCTAACCTGTAAAGTCAGATCTGCTTTTGGCTCTCGATTTCTAACAGCCAGCCAAAAACAAGGTTTCTGAATCTGGCCTAATCTCTAGCAAATAACACCAGATCATTGAAGCAAGAGGTGGAACAACAGGCTGAGGCACAAGGCTCCAACTCAAAATCCTTTCTTGGATTTAGCCGCAGCAGCTGAAGGACTCTAAGCCAATGGGCTGGACTATGAACCACAACAGCCTGGGAACAGACATGCTGCCACTTAGCCACCCCTGCTACAGGGGCATGAGTGTCCAGTGAGGAGACAGCAAGGTCAACAGGACCAGTCTTCCAAGGTTAAGGGTTCAAATTTGAACCCTAACTACCATGCTTCACAGCCCAGCTACCCGTACCAGAAACTGCTGGCAGCACACACTAACCCAACAGCAGGTGAAACAGTCAATCCCTCCCTTCCCATTATGGTGACTTCTGGTGAAAGGACAATAAAGGGACACTAGCTTCCTCAGCAACAACAGCATGAACCAGCAGACCTCTTGAGTCAAAGCCCTCTGAGCAGCCTTAGTTGTCAACTGCCTAAAGACCAACTTTAGTCAGGAAAAAAAGAAAAGTCCATTAGATCAAGACCCAAAGCTTGCATATTTCCTGGTTTCACTTACAGGAGGCAGTGGCAGCCTCTCAGCTTCTCCAAGCCAGGGAAGGCTAGGAAGACCTATCACACCCACACCAAACCAATTCAAGGCACATGGTACCAAAATTAGATCTTTACAGTGGGCAGAAATTGAAGATTCCCAAAGTTTGGATGCCAATCCAAGGTTAGTCAAATCTCCCAAGCTTACAGGAATGAGTTGACCATTTACCCAAGGACAGTCTCCTGGGACTTTGCCTAATGGCAGTACTGTTGCAAGCTAGAAACACAACAGCAGCTTGTTTTCCCTTGAATTTGGGACCTCCAACAAAGGTCATAAAGTGCAAAAGCAAGTGGGTAATGAAGGAGAAGACCAGCTAAGCACCCTATTTTTAAAGCTCAGAAAGCTCTTGGTTTGGGTCGTAGATGCAGATCAGTTCTCATTCTATCTGAATTAGTTGCACATTCTCCCTTACACTACTACAGACCTGATTTTATGCTCACACCTAACTTTTCACTAGGTTTCAATGACAGCAGACTGGACCTTTTACATAATGCATGTACCATATCTGCCAGAATACATACAGACCTGCACAGTCAGAGCAACATGAGAAAGTTGAGAAGGCAGAAGTCCGGTCTGTGCCTGGCAGCCCCACATCATCCGAGGGCAGTAAAGGGAGATGGTACAGGACACTTGGCCTCATCACAGGGTCAATGCACCATGGTAAGCTCCCACACCGCTTGCCATTTGTGCCACCTATCCCATGTCCATACCTGCAAGATCTGGCCCAACACCTAAGACAGCACTACACACTCTACTAAGTGATTAGTATGCTGGTACAAGGCTCAACCAAGACCAGGCAGCTGCACATGGTCCCCAAAGGCCTACAAAACATATATAAACCCAGAGTTTGAAAGTCTGGCTTTCTGCCCATACACATGTATATCAATCATTGCACCACTCCCCACAGCAGGCTGCAACAATACCTCTGATGGTCTATGCATTAGCCTTGCAAGAAACAGTGCAAGCTTAAGTCTCTCTTCTCCATTGAGCCTGCAAAAATGCAGACCACCTGTTTACAGCACAAAACCTTGGCACTAATATGAACAAAATGGCTGCAGACACCCACTCCTGCAGTTTTTCCTGCATGCCTCCAAGCATCCCAAAGGCTGTATATACCCCTGAGAGCTCCTTCCAAAGATTCTCAGTTTCACAACCTGAGGCTCCAAGAGACAAACAATAAAGCTAAAGGGGGTGATCACAGCCACAAGGCCCCAAAACACACTGTTCAAAAGAAATCCCCCACTGCCTCTGCAGAGATATTCTGCACTGAATCAGTCCACTACAACCTAAAGCACTGCCCTTATTTTATTTCCAAAAATAAAATCTAATCCTTTCTCCCCCAAGAACCACAGAGTGTGCAATCCTCGCAGGAAGAAGTACATAGACACAAACTTTGAGGAAACATCAGCACTCTTTCTAACAAAGTTGCCATCAGCTTGTCCAGAGTGACTGCGCAGAAGTGCAGCTACACGGCAATCCCCCTCTGTGTAACACATACAAAAGACTCCACTGGAGTCTGGTATATGGATCCCCAAACCCCAACTCAGGCAAGGAGGGCTGCTAGTTTTCCCAGATCCTTTATTTGATTTGGGGCCACGCACTACACTTCCCACAGTACTGATGCCAATCCAGAGTAACTTTGCTGATTTCAGGGGGTATCCTTTGGTTCACAGCACTTTCACCAAATAAGGATCTGGTAATTTTTTGTAACTCACTCATCACAACTCCATTTTTATCCCATTGCACATGGCTCAAAAATTCCTTCTTTCATTTGGCAGGAAGGGCTTAGATATTCCTTATCCTGAATCCTCACTTTTTCTTTTGAGCAGTAAGAAAGGATGGAAACAGAGTCCATGGGTCAATGCAGTGAGCCAGACTGCAAAATTCAGCTCAGATTCTGGCCTTCAGGACCAGAAGAGAGAGAAATGCAAATAATAAGCTGAAAGGCATTTTAGGCAAATCATGTTTGTACAGTACCTAGCATAGTGGGGTTCCAGCCTGCCAAGGGCTGGGAGACTACAGATTGCACACGTACAAAGGTAACTAGACAGACAGGCAAATGCCTATGTAGTTAAATGTGAACCCCATTAAAAGTAAATACTGCTAAAGAACGGACAGATACATCTGCCTTTATCTACCTTTCTGTATGACCTATTGAATTGTGCAGGTCAACTCTGAAAGCAAAGGAACAGGACTTTAGTAACAGGAATACAGCCTAGGCCAGTTCCTACTGAGCACACTGAGAGGAAACTGGCCCAGCATAATAAACACTGCAAGTTACTAGCTTCTCAAGGCCCCGTTATTAGTTACCTGAAGGGTGCAAAAAACAACCGAGACAAAACGGGCTGTTCTTACCTTTAGCTGGAAAGGTTGAATTTCGTTCAAACTCTGGTTCCTGAGCTTTTTGGTGAGGATCTTCAGCATGGTACAATTCCGGGGAGCCAAGAAAGCGTTAAGCATACACACGCGCACGCATCTACATCTGCCAAGCCGCTGCTTGGCGGAGCTTCGCGGAGCTTGCCTCCAGCACCCCCAGGTACCCTGCAGCGGTGGGGGGGCGGACGGCTCCGGACCGCCCGCTTCCAGCTGTGCCCCTCTCTCCTCCGCCACTGCACTCCGTCCTGCGGACCTCCGCGGGGGAAGGAGTGGGAATCCCTTTCCAAGGCCTAAAGAAAAAAATAAATACCAAACTTCCTTTGCTTTCCGCCCTCTCCCCGGTTACGCTTCAGTAAAGGAGGGAGGTACCCACTAGCAGCTTGCTGCAAAGGACAAGAGACATTCGGCGCAGAGTGTTGAGGGACGGCAGAGCTCCCAAGCCGAGGCCCCGGGCTCAGCTCAATGGCAGCGCTCCCGTCCGCCCCCATCAGCCCCGACGCCGGCGGCCGCAGGCGGACATCGCGCCCCACTCCCGTCGGGCGCGGGCGGCGGCACCGCCGCCCCGGGCTCCCGCACCGCCGTAACCACCCCGCGCCCCGGTCCACGACGGGAAACTTGTAACAAACGGCGCGGCGGCCGCGGCACCCATTGGCCGGCCGGGGCGGGCCGGGGCGGGGAGGGGCGAGGCCTCCGCTTAAAGCGGCCCCGCCGGCGTTACCGCCGGGCCTTGCGACTCCGGCCAGGAGGATGCCCCAGGGGCTGGGGCAGGCCCGCCGCGGTGTCACCGGCGACCCTTCAGGGCGGCGTTCCCTGGGTCCCCGGCCTGGGCGGGCTCAGCTCAGGATGTGCCAGACTGGTAACGGCTTGTGCTGTACAGCACCCTGGCTCGCACCAGGAGGGTGACAGGGTGCCATGACCTATTTGTCCTGTCCCTTGACTCCAAGCACAGATCCGTAGGGAGGATGTGTGTATCCCATCTCGAGTCCCTCGAGCCACCCAGGCAGCTTGGAAGGGGCCTGCAGCTGCACGGAAACTTGCCACTGCCTTTCCTCACAGCAAATGCAAGCATAGGGCCAGGGTGGCACTGGCTCCTGCTGCACCAGCTGTCCTCAGGCCCAAGCAAGGCGCTCCATTTCCATGGCCATCCCCCCACACCTCCCTGGCAAAACAGTCAGGAAGGTTACCAGGGACTGACTGACACGCTCCCAGCCTCTCTGCGCCCACAGGAAGCCACCAACACGTTTGCCAGCAGTAACAAGAAAGGACTTTCAGCCACTGCCAACCCCATGCCAGTGATAAACTCCCTGTGTCTAGGTGAAAGGTCCCTTTTGCCTATCACCAGTCCCTTGGGGCCAGCAGAGCCTTTCGTCCCAGCCTTCCTCCTGGGACAAGTTCGGAAGTGTTGAGGAGGTCTCTGCTTGTGTACAAAATCCAGAGGAGCACAGCCTGGTTAATGTATCAGTTCCACCTTCTCAGCCAGCACGCCTGTAACGAGATAAGGAAAGAGCACTCGTAAAATGCTGACTGCAGAAAAGAAAGAGAACATCTCTGCTGCAGGGGAAAAGGCCTCAGTTCAGCTCCAGTTAGCAAAGTATTTTTTTTCTTGAAGGAGTACAACAGGCACAGAGTCTGAGCCAGAAAACATTTGTGCTTTTCAGATAGTGCCGCCTTAGAAGATGCCTGCAGTAGGAAACTATCTCATCTATTAAACCATACTTGCTCTGTGAGTTCTTCATTCACACTGTGGACTTATTTTCACCTATTTTTGCCCCAGTTCACACCAAATTGAAATCACCATCCAGCCTTACACCACTAAGCCACCATATGTTGTTACAGGTACTTCCGATTTCCTTACTGCATGAATGCAGAAAAATAGGGAATAATACACATTAGCAGATTGCTAGTCTAGCACCCTGCCTCCAACAGGAGAGAGTAAAATGCCAGACAAAAGCAGAAATCCTCCATATAGATATGCAATAATATATCTAAGGTTAGGTAAGAATTAATCCTGATCCCTAACTGATAATCAAGATATATCCCAAAGCCTGACAACTGAAAATCTCTTATCATTTTCTTACCCTAGTGAATGTCACTAAAGAAGATTCTACTTTTTTTTTTTCATATAAAGCCACATTCCCCAGGCCTTTATTCATTCCTTATTCCAGCACTGGAGCGACTGGCTTTCCTCGTAATGGTCTGTAAGATATGATCCATAAACCACAGTCAGCTTAAACTACTGGGTATGATTGCTTTCCCATATCTGAGCTCTCCGGGTTCAAGCACTGGGACAGGCACATGCCAGGGGCCCGTTATTTGTCTCAGGACAGATGAAGCTGAAAAAGCTCCCTGAAACAGAGAAGAGCAGAATCTGCCATCCCACCTGTAACACCTCACAGCCTCTACCCGAACTCACACAGCCCCACTGAGGCACAGAACAGCAGCAGGGACCACAGCCTGCCTGGTGGTGGGTTCATGCTAGGCTGCCTAACCTGCTCTGGGGCCATGCTGCTTGCAACAAGCAGCAAAGGCAAATGCTGATGAGGCTTTTTCATGGCACTTGTGATGTGAGAGAAACTAATACTATAACTCCTTGTATTAACTCTGCTTCTGCAACCTTTGCCTACATGTGTTTCAGCAGATACCTGCAGAGCAGCTCTTTCTTGCTTGCTTTGTATTTCATATAACCAGAATAGCCAGGAACACCAACTATGGGTACACTCAGGTCTTTTGGGGGTCAAGTTATACACACTTGCTCCCAGTGTTTTCTCAGATTGCGTAGCCATGAGCATCTCTGTGTTCCAGCAGGCTCAGGAGAAACTCACACTCTCAAGTTCCTCCCCAGCTAACCCTGCACCTTGCACTTGTAGAGTATCATGGCCTGTCTCTTGCTCCACAGCTGCAAAGCCAGAAGCAACTGTTTAACAGATCACGTTCTCCATTGATACACAGCATCCAGCATCTCCTCTGAACGAGGCATGGTGACACACTGCTGCAACCAGTGACAAGCAATTTAGCAGACACCCAGAGGAAAAGAAGCCCTTGCAGAAAGCAGAGCTGAAACCTACTGCTGCAACTCTTGTCTTATGTGATCCCTGCCCCAAGGATGAAGCTTGACATGCTTAGATGGCTTTCCAGCAGATGACAGGTCATGCTGCTGCACCACGTACTGGAAATAAAGCTTCCTGAGAGGTCTGGAGGTGTTGCTCCTCCACACACATACAGGTTGCAGAATACTACCAAGTAACCTCTATCTAAGAATAGCAAAATATTTTCCAAGGGTAAGTAACAGTATTGTTCCCAAAACTAAGACAGAGGAAGGTTACTTGACTTTCTGAAGGTCACTGAGGAAAGCTGTGGAAAATCCAAGTATAGAAGTGGTATCTCCTGGCCCCTAGCTGTATGCTCCCAGACTGTAATCTAGCCTGTTACTAGATCACACTGCTGGAGCTATGCAAAATTCAGTGGTTTCACTTCCCAAGCATCTCATGGGATTGCTTTGCTTTGGTTTTGGTTCCTGTGGGTTTCTCACCCCTGGAGTTTTGATCTGCCTGCTGGGTTAAAACCAAATCCAAATCTCAAACCTAGTCCAAGTTTCCTCTGGTCACATGATAAAAACATGAAAAATGCATCGCATGACATTTAGAGTAAGCCCACACGCCTGCTCCAGCATTGCTTGAAGGTCTCTTTAAATTCCTCATGGCCAGACCAGGAGCAGAAGGGAGGCAAGTGGCAAGTTTCTCCTGCAAGAGCACATGGCATTGTGGTGAGAGGGAAAGGGCAGGGGCCTGTGAGCTGAGCAAGGATCCTGGTCACTTCCACAATACCCACATGTTCCTGCCTGCTGCTGCGATGGGGAAGACATCCCTGGAGAACTGCCTTAGATCCTGGTGTGCCATGTTTTATTTTCCCTCAGAGACATTCCTCTGTGGGAATCCTGGCCAAACAGTACAATAGGGGAGACAGGCAAGAGGGGTGAAGACAATGCAGCGAGGATTAGTTTAATACACAGATTCGCTCTGAGCTGTGTTTCCCGTTGTGCTCGGAGGACAATCTAATACCTTCTGCAGTTTATCTTGCCCAGGGTGTACCACCAGCACTGCAAGATGCAAGAACAGGAATGTGTGTGGGTGTAGAAGGCCCCATTAGGCAGGCCTGGCCAAGCCTTCTCATAAGGAAGGAGATGCTATTTTCACCCTTTGAAGTCACCTGGGGATTTGCTCGGCCCACCTTGCACACTGAACTGCTCTTTGGCCTCCTTTTCCCTCACGCTGTGCCATAGCAGGGTCATGCTGCATCTGTGCGGACCTTGGTCTGAACATCCCGATATTGAAGGCAAATGGAAAAAAAACCAGCCAGGGAAGAGGTTCACGTGCCATCTATTGGGGATCTCCTCTCATTACACCAAGGGAGTCAGAGGGATGAGGTGGAAAAAGTCTCATCCATCCCCTCTTGCTTGTGACTCTACTGGGTGACGGCTGAGAGAGATACTGGAGCTACAGCCAGTGCCAGGCACGGAAGGAGCATCTGTGTGCCAAGGGCAATGCTAAAAGAGAGTAGCAAGGCAGAAGTAGGATGAAAGTTGAGCCTACAGCTTGCTGGAGGGAGATGGGAGCCCAAAGCCAGGCACATCTTGAAGGGTACCACAGAGCAGGTCCATCCACCAACTGTCTCAGCCACAGTCCAATGTATGTAGGTAAAAGCAGGGGAGAAGGACAGACCACAAAAATAATGTGAATTGTTCCCAGAACAGTATGACTGACAAAACAGGCAAAGGGCACCAAGCGCTATCCCTGAGCCAGCCACCAGTCACTTATGGCAGGTACCACAGGGCATTTCTCCTTCACGTGTGTGAATTGCTGAGTCTGTAGGCTCCTTCAGAAGGCAAAAATCTCTGACTTTGCCTCTGTGTGATGTCTGTCCTAACACAGGCCAACCTAAGCCAAGTCCCCACCATACAAACCATAAGCACCCCATGACCCAGCTGCAGGGGTGAAGTTGCAGTGCACGCAAGTGCTCTCCAAGTTCTAGCTGTGTGGTCTTTATACCAGGAGTGTGGGGCAGGGAGTTGGGAAACATCTCACATGAGGTCACAAAGGAGCCCTTCACTATGGCTATAGGCATCCAAACACGAGAACTGGCCACCATTACCTTAAGGCTACAAATGTCCCAGAACTGAGCCAGCTGCTGTCATGCAAACATTTTGGACATTCAGGGAATATCAGGAAGGGCTGGTCAGAGATGGCTGACACTGACAGCTATCTGTTCTCTTCTAGACACATCTCTTTTAGGCACATCTGAGTGATGAACTACCTAGGATACATGTTTTTGCAGATGCGGTTTTTGACTGCCATGAAAAGAAGCAGAAAAGAAATTGAAGAGAAAGGTGTTCAGAAATCACTGATCCCTGACATTTGATAGAGAAACAATGACCTTGCCAGCATAGGCCACATGGCAGCAGTAAGGAAAAGAGATGATCCTCTTAACAGCACTGCTAGGCAGCCCCATCTCTGTTATAACTCCCTTGCTGCCCATTCTCTC